GACGTGGAAAAGATCGAATCTCAAATAATGTTATATATTTAAAAACTGCAAATTTCACAAATTTTTAATGGGACAAATCCCATCATATAGGATCTAAACCTCACAACTGTGATTTGATCTATTAAGTTATTGCACGTAGTAATTGTTGTTTTGCGACTGCAAAACTTCAATGATTATAACTCGAAAGATGAGAATGATCTCGGTTGAAGCGTGGCGGATCGAATCTTTGATTTTGTGGAGCACGGTAGGAAAGAGGGTGCCCTGAAGGTTGCAAGTCAAGGCTAGGCACTTTCACTCGCGAGCGAAGCTGCGTGGCTCTCTTGGGAGCGCGCCACAGGCTGGCTTCCCACCTTACTTTACTATTTACATTTCTACCTGGCCACTCCGTACGTTGACCGAATTACACCCATTAGTGGGGGCCCAGAGATATTATGCCTGGCTACGTGTAACCCACCCGTGGTTAAACGATTGCGCTATGTCGCGCTGGATCCAGAGATGAGCATTCCAAGAGGATCTAAATTAATTTCGCGACACCCAGGCACCAACTGTGTTTTCATTTCGCTTCCACAAGAACATTCTGGTACCGAGAACATTTCCATGTTCCACTGCAAAATGATGGGTTATGTATGAAATGACAGGTCTGTTGGAGACATTCTCTGCTGTTTTAATCCACTTCTGGAATCTTTGCAGGCATCACGGGTTTTAATTCTTTGTTACGACTTAGCCGTGGATGTTTATGCAAATTCCAGGTTTTTTCTACCGTACATGTGAAGGGTAAGGGGAAAGAACAGGGAATTTCACGAAACAGCTTTACTGAGACAGTCAACTTTTGATACTTTAGTCCTCCAGTGAAGAAGGTTCAATGAATTTATCTGTATTTTTCATAGCATGAAGTTCATACTCTAATTAGTAGGCCTGGGATTTTTATGTAAGATGACAGTTTATAAAGTAATTCGTACAAATGAGAGCAAATGTGGAAATTTCTTTATTGATTTCAGAAAAAAAGTAGAAAATTCGTTTATCTTTCATTGGCTATAGAGCCGCGTAGGTTATAAGTACATAAAATCTGCTTTTCTAATTAGACATCAGACAAAAATGAGCAAAGAAATCAATTGTTTAAATAAACTATAATTAATATTTCTTTTCTGTTAACATAGGTTGGGAATAAATTACATTATAATTTAGGTATGTATTTGAGAAACTAGTTCTGCTAATGTACCTACTTTTTATGAACTTCATAAATTTTGACTTTCACCACTTTCAAACATTTAATTTCTTTGTATCTGTCTCGAGATATATGAATTCTGCTTCTCATAGATTTCCATTCATTTGAAATGCACTAAATGATTCACTAAACAAAGCAAATTCTCACAATTACTTTCCACATGAATTGTCAACAAAGCCAATAACATTTAACACTTATTTTTCATATATAATTTTTCCATCATTTGTTACTTCAAAAAAAAATTAAATATCTATTATACCGACATTTATACCGACGAAATAGTCAGAAAAATATTTTTAATTAACATTATATCCCCATAGTATTAAGAAAAATAATGAAGGTGGGGTAGAAAGCCGGTACCCTTACTAAATTAAAAGATTAATGCAGATAATTGTTTATTAACAATACATTGTACAATAAAACTTTCATAATCCATCCGGTTATTCTTATTTCATCGATTGTATCGTTCTTTTCTCACGGGTATACGATTATATTTATAAGAGATATTAACGCCTCTCCAATCGGAATTGCATCTGAGAAAGTATCGCACGGGGAATCGTGCATTCTACATAGCCATGCTTCGTCTTTTATTAAAACGCGTTGATGACGTGATACGACGCTATGCATAATCATGCTATAATGCGGATAATTGAAACGCAGTCGTTGCACTGCAGAACTGTATGTGGTAACGTTTTGAAAATTATTCAATTGTTTCTTATTAACCCACGTGCACTGTTGGGGTCAATTTGACCCGAACTTAAACTTTAAGTTTTAATTATATTCTTTGTCAGAGAAATTTTCAGATTAATTTAACACTAGCAGCTTATACATATATACAGTATGTAACAAAAAAACAAATAAAAACTATACCGTGTAATATTACGTTAATAAATAACAACTGACATGTAATGTTAAAACTTAGTTTTTTCAATTATACTAAATTAATTATATTATTATATTATACATATATTGTACTATGTATATAATTCTACTGTACTTGAAATTAAATGTTTACTTCACGAAAATCGTCGTTTCACTTTAATACTGACTGTTCATTTATTGTCGTTACACTGTATAACAATCAAGCAACAAATATATTTCCTTAATTCAATTGTACTTAAGCCAAATTTAATTCAAGGAATAGTAATGCAACAATTTATTGAACGATACACGAGGATTAATGCATCATATAATTGTAGGCACTACAATAAACCATGTTTTTATTGAAATAACACAAATCATTGGAATTTATCAAGAACTACTTTAAAACTACATATTTAACTTAGGAAGCATACAATTCGATGTAGCAATCTGGTTGTGTGCTAATAAGGTGACAACATAGTTTAAATTCTATACATTTTCCGCCACTGTGTTTGATAAAGATGGCGTCGGGCGTTTCAAAACACTGATACCTATAATGGATAAATGAGATAATAAAAAATCACTATTTTCTTGAAAATGGTATGGAATTCAGAAGACATTATTGGAATATAATCAGCAAAAATTGTTATTGTTCTATTACAAATATATATGTGTACACTATGAGATGTAACTCAATTAGAGATAACTGAACACTAAGCATGAAAGAAAGAAATGGAATAAAATAAATATGATCCGAAAATTACATCCAAGTAAAAGCATTGTATTAGTATAATAAAATCGAAAATTATTTGTATCGATACTTATTATTTATCGAAATTTTATGTTCATAAAATTATAAATTCTTCGAAATTAGTCATGTATGCAGTAATAAACTGAAAGTAGTAAGTGAAAGATACGGATACCTATGTACATACTTCAAAAACTACTTACATATACATATGTATCACTTGATACGAATACTGCAATAAAGTGAAAGCACCTTTCTAGTACAGAAAACCTGTAAATTCTTCAATACATATTTCTTATTCGAATTCAAATACAAATTCTTCAAAATTTTCTTACCTGCAACAGCACACACACGCAACCCAAAAACTATGTACCGAACATGGAAAGTGAAAGTACCTTTCCAATACAATAATTAATAACTAAACTGCGGATGTTTATGCAAATTTACAATTTTGAACTTTAATATATGTATAAAAAACAAAATTGAACAGAATTTCGTTTCTAATACTAGGGGTTTTAATATGTCAATAACAGTACATAAATACTATTAAATTTTACTAGAATCTTTATTTTATTGCGTTTTGCATAATATAGTTATTAACAACTTAAGGAATTTTATAAAACTAATTTACTAATTTTCTTTCGAATTTCGAAAAAATAATCATGATCGCAAATGTTAACGTTCTCTAAAGAAACATGCATTATCATTCAAGTGTCGGAATCTCAAAGAAAATCGTGATCATAACGTGTCCCCCGTGATCGATGTGCCAATGAACGGATGACTCACGGAACGTTCGATCGGATCGAGCGAGAAATCATGTTACTATGCCTCACGGCCAGCGGGCACGCGTACCTGAATCGAAAGAGGAGAACGAACGTGTGTGCTGTCATGCAACTTGATATTAAACAGCGAGACGTTTGGCCTTCCCAATCGAATTAACGCGTAATTTCCTGTTCCCGGTAGAAAAACTTGTAAACGAATCCCTCGACGCCGCCTCTCGTTCAGAAACATACTAAAGAGACGTTTGATCTACTGCCAAAGGTTTCGTAATTGGCGTTCGTTAACGGAGTAATGGTTGTCGTTCGACTACGAGGAAAGAATTTCTGCTTGTAAATAACTTTTACGAGAGTCTTTCAACAGATCCATTCGCTTCTTTTCTAAATTCGTCCTGCTCTCAATTTTATGAGATTAGTAAGTTCTATAATCGAGTCATATTGTTGTTTCCTTAAATTCACCAGGGTATTATTTTTTTGCAGTTTGCAATTGCCTCGACGGATTTGTATAACAATTAATACAGTCGGATGATAGAGCTTGTTAAACAACGCAATATTTTCCTCTACGATTTTTTTAACTTCACTTGACACAAGGCTATAGCCCAGCCCAGTTACTAGAATCACCCTGTACAATCGATAATTTCGATATTGGTACAAATCAACCCTCTTCTCGAATAGAATTATCTTATTTAAATAAATCAAGTTTGTGATTTTTCAGTACCCCAGAAATTTATTCAATTAACCCTTTCAAACCTGGTGGTCACATTTGTGTACATGAAGTTTCTTACAATTTCCATATCTTTGTTATAAACTTGAATTTTTTCATATTCTGAATATTTTTAATAACATTGCATACTGTGCAGTGACAGCTAATAATAGGATCCTGAAAGCACTACAATCTTCCACACGTCAACTTCAGTTCCAGGTGTTAATACATTATTATTAAGTGTTATAAAGTGCTGTGTATGTTCCTTTCCTCGTCTGTGCTCTCTTAGGTGTCATGTCATACTTGAATCCAAGTTTACACATATATGTACATTTAATATGTACAAAACTATGGAACATATAAACATCTTTTGTAAACAAAATATCATCCAAACAGTCTACCGAGTTAACTTGTGTAAACAAATTTTTGTTTACTCTTAAAAGAAAATTCATGTCCGAAAGGGTTAACCTCAATTAACACTGGAACTACCAGCATTGAATGTTTAATATATAATGCAATATATCTTAGTATACTATAATAAAGAATGTATAAAAAATTAGAGGTTAACATAAATTCCGATGAAAGTATCTCTAGGATTTCAATAATTGTAGAATACGAAATCTAGAATCCGTCATTTTAACGGATTCGATAGTTCTAGTGTTAATTAACTGAACATTATTATTACAGGATCGTACGCCCAGAAGCAGCAACAAGAAGATCCCTGCCAAACAAAGTCCCGAGTGGTGGGCGACATAGAATACTGCGATCGTTACTGGGAATGCGTGAATGGCCGCCCGGAGCTGTTTGACTGTCCAAATGGTCTGGTCTTCGCTGGAAAACATCGCGGCGTGACGGAGGGTTGCGATTATCCTTGGAGGGCGAACTATTGCGACGCGAAACGTCAGGCAAATCCGCCAATTCCCGCGGACCATTGCGACTGGCTTTATGGTATATTCGGCCACGAAACGTCCTGCACCAGGTACTGGACCTGCTGGAACGGAACTGCGACCGAGCAACTTTGCATAGGTGGACTTCTGTACAACGAGAGAGCCAGGTCCTGCGACTGGCCTGAGAACGTCGAAGGATGCCAGAAGCATCGTGAGTAAAATGGAAGAATGATCTTTTGCTTTTTGCTCAGTTCTTTTGCTCGTTTGCTTTCCCTCGTATTCTACTCTACAGTGCGCTGCATAAGTATAGCTAACCTCCAAAGATTGAATCATGTAAGAATCCGGTGTAGGACTTTGTTACTGCTACTGTCGGAAACGTGGTACTTACTTTTACTTTGGAAATTGAGACACAAGGAAATAATTACAAACGTATACTGGGTGTTAATTTTAACTCGAGCATCTTATTTCCGCTAATATTGGAAGTAAGAAAAAATAACTAAATAGGATGCGCATGGTTTTAAGGCGTGCATCTGATGGTGATAAAATGATTTTTTTACTTCTTATTACGTTTATTTACTTCTGCATTCTTGAAATTGAAACTGATTTCTTCGCCTTCAAGGTCACTTCAAGGTCGTGGTGTGTAGATTGTTGAACTCATCTTGACGCCGACTACCATATCGCGTTATAAAAAATACATGTTAATATGCAAAAAAATACAACGACCTTAAAAAACCGTTAAAATGACCTTCACAGGATTTTTTTTTTACCACCATCAGATGCACGCTTTAAACCATGCACAACGTATTTAGTCATTTTTTTTCTTATTTCCAATAGTAGCGGAAATAATTTAGGTGCTCGAATTAAAATTAACAACCTGTATATGTATTTATCATAAAAACTTCTAATCACAATAACAGAAAGTTAACAGTATCAATGTTTAGAACGCTAAGATTATAAAGATTATTACGGATATAATTCTTACAACTTGGAAACGCATGGCTATTAGTTTTGAACGAGAAACCGGATGTGTAGAATCGAGAACGCACTCTGCTGTGCATAACAGGATGTACACTCCCACTATGAACCTACTTAAAATCTACAAGATGTCCGCTTTCTATGTATGGTTTCCGAAATTATTAATCTTTAACATTCACTGTATAAAAAAACTTAATGCTGAATAAGTACATTTGTGTATAAAATTATAGTAATTAAATGTGGACTATTTCGTGCGTGCAGCAAACACAAATAAAACTGATTTTATTTTAACCGCTAGATTTATTAACTTGTGTATACGAATTTATATCAATTTTGAGGATGTTTTCATGGACGTTCTCCCACACTTTTGAGATTTAGTAGAATATATACGCAGTACTAAATGTTCCATGACTTTCAATGGTATCTAAATTCGAGGAGCCCAATGTAATAATGGCATACTAAATATTTTCTGTAGATCAGCATTGACTGTATAACGATGAATTAGCTTGTAAAATGGTAACAAATTCTTTTGAACCATATTAACAGAATTAACGCTGTTCATTTTATGTAAAACAAAAGTAATCGAAGATTCATCGTAGACTGAAAACTAAGCCCAATATTTTACATTTATGAAACACTCGAAAATTAGTGTCTTAGAGCCAAAACTACCATGTATATGCGTAAATTTATTAGAACGTTTTACCAAAACCTTTGTAGTATCCCGTATTAATAAAAAATAAAGCTATTAATAATCTGTCATTACAAATTCGCGTAATATGGAGTTTTCATAGGATTGGTATATTTATGAAGCGCACTATATTAAACCAAATGCCTCTAATTTCTGCTACTTAACCTATCCCTTGCACCTTGTACCGAAGTGACTTTCAATGGCCAACTTCACAAAAATTATGAAAGAATTTTATTTTAAATATAAAACGTCAAGCACCGATCAAATTTTTCGGCACTAAAATCTGAAAAGATTCCAAAAATGGAGTCTGTCAATTTGGCATGTAAACAGTTCAATTAAGATATTCAGTGTCAAACCCGTTTCATGTAATTTGTTCTCCAAGCACCAATTACCCATCCAGTATGTTCAATATATTTGTTAAATAAATTGTATTCCTTAATAGTTGCCACCTTGAGGGGTTTAGTGGAAAGGGGGCACATGCCAAATACTATAAATTTACACATCTACTCGTAGGAATAATAATTTTCTCAGGAAATTCGGTATTAGCTGGCAGTTATTTTAGTTGGTAATTTAAGTAAATGGTAATTGGCAATTACTGTCAAATCTTGATTTGAAAATTCAGATCATATGACACTTGTTTTTTTAACAATTTAAAAATATTTCTCCTTGACACCCCAAAAACAATTTAGTCCCGAATAGCCGTAATCTTTTTTGGATTATCACCGGTGATCCACGCGGCACCGAAGGTGACAAAGAAATGAATGCTCTCAACCAGCGTCAATCTTAACACACTCTCGATAACTCAAGAAGTGAAAAAAAAAACTAATTCTCTACGTAATCAAAGCAAAATCGGCGATAGGGTAGAAGACCCATTTACTGCCACCTACCTAGTTACTGTCGTCCGAGACTGTTTTACTTAAAATAACAAAGAAACGTTGTGAAGTTATGCATAAAGAGAATTCTGAATTCAATTGAAACTATACTACACACGTTAGAAAAAGCAACACTTAATTTCCATTTTCCATTAATTTTTGTAAAATGATAAAAAATTGTTAGTTGATCGGAAAAGTAAAAACGACGACTTCCTTACTAGGGAAAGGGAAAACAAAGTACTACAGAAAATGTAGCAGTAAAATAGTAGCATAATAAAATGTAATGTTTTAGATAATATGAAGATTGTAGAAAATAATGTCAATCATAATTCAACAATCGTTACGTTTTTTAGTTTCATATTTGGATCATAGTGATTAGTATAAGCGTTCCAATATAACTTCACAAAGCATCGCGATCAATGGGAAACTCGTCCATCAAGTCGTCAGGACATTCTCTCACCGTGTCGGTGACGCGTGGGGCAGACGATGTCGCGACGAGGACTCGCTTTGAATGCTAATTAGCGGCTCGCCTCTTTTTCTCGGCGGAGGGCAGTGACTTCGGCCGAACTATCGTACAAGGAGAGAAAAAACGGAGGTGAGCTGCGTGCACGCGCGCGCACGAACGGGTGCCCGCTTTCGAAAGTGAGAATGATCTCGAACGTCGCCCCCGGGTAAATGTGATTTGCGAAAGAGAGGAGGGAACAGCTGTTTCGGGACGAAAATAGATGCAGAATCCCGTTGACCGAAATTTTGAGGCTTTCACTGATGGGCATTTCTGAAATTCGCCTGTGATTTACAGCGGGTAAAAAAAGTATTTTCAAACCTTTTAAAATAGAACAACTTTTTTTAAAATTCGACCAAGGGACTTGAGTGTTTTTGTGATGGATAGATCGATTTACCAAATAATGTTTGAAAAGAAATTTTGAAAGATTTGCAATTAGTTGGAAACGCAAAGAAAATAGTAAAGGTCAATTTTTACAACTTTTTTATCAGAGACTGTAATGGAAATTTAATAAATACATTTCTGAGATTTATGTTAGTTATCTGAAAATAATTCTAGGTTAATTTGCACTAGAGACTGATATTTTTATTTTCTTTCAACAATCTTTATCCTTATTACTTTTAAAAAGTACTACTCCGTTTAGTTCATTTGACAGTGGCAAAGAACATAATGTGCTAATATTTCTGAAATAAAACTTCCAGGTTCTTAAACACAATAATCATTCAATGCATAATATGTACCTATCCCCTACCTAATTTCTAACTGCAATGCTTGAAACGCTTAGACATTAACGCTAACAAGTTTTACAATTAACTGCATCACAGTGGGGTTTTTAACAAATTCTAGATATATTGTGTTTAATAGGAACAATTTAAAAATCAGTCAAAAACGGAGGAACAACATTACTTCCGAATAGGAAAGGTTAATTTTAAAACTCAGTCGATTACCTGTTCTTTTTAATACTGGTGTCTGTTTATTACTGGTTATTTCTACTTATAAAATAGGGAAGAATGATTACAAGAAACACTATATTTATTCTTTTGTTAATATTTTCCTAAGATATAACCAGGTCCTCCAATATACTATTTATAACATTCAGAAAACATTATTTTCTATTTTTACTACATATGTAAATAATTCCTGTAGTATTCATATTAACCTATTGGATTGAATTCTCATTGCCATGCGTAACATTTCGACTAACAAGGGAAGTTACCCACATGTTAAATTGGTTTTGAAAATATAATTGGAAGTTATAGAACTCGACCTCTTAAGGACTGGAATAAGCGTTACTCGCTCCGAAAGTTCAGTATCGACCAGAACAATGGCGTCAAAATCCGTCCTATGCACCTCTGTAAATGAATATAAATGGTTTTTCTACTTTTTAGATTCTTTTGGATATATGTAAATAAAATAACTGAGAAAGAAACAAAGATCACCAACATGGGGTTTTATTCACCTTGATCGAATTATCCACGCTGTGAATCGTGCAACCTTTCAAAATCTTCTGTGCCACCAGACTGGTGAGCTGGACTTGTACATCCCTTAAACTCGGAAATGTGGACTTGGACTCCAATTTTGTGTTCTTTGTTTATTTTTCAGTTATTTTTAAAAAGTTCCAAAAAATCTTAATCAAGAAGTTATGTATATCCTTTTCCGAAGTTACTTATGACGGATTATGATATCATTTTTTTAACCCATATGTGAATTTTCCGGGCAACTGATGTTTCAATTCTTAAGAGATCGAGTCCCACAACTCTCAACCATTCTTTTGTCGAAATTAAATTAATATCTGGGTAACTTCCTTTGTTATATATTCGGAAGGAAGTAGCCACAACATTCACATACACCTAATGAAATCAACTTATTAAGTGGCATGAGCTTAAAAAGACGACACGAGTTTAACCCTTAACTGCTATGGTGGGGTCCTGGAGCACCCCCAACAGTATAAAAATTGTCATAATTTCGCTCTCAAGTAGAGCAGGTGGCGCTAAGTGGCTTAGTAATCTTTTGTTAAATGAAGCCTTATAATTTACCAATTACACGTGTTTGACTAATTAAACTTAACCCGCTAATTGCATTTGTCCATTATAGTCGACGTCTACTTTATCACTTCCCAGATAGCACATGCTACCTTGAAGACGGCTTAAAGGTGCCTCAGACGTAAAATAGCCGTAAAATGGGCGTTGACGATCTGCAGTAGAAACCTTCGTTAAATAACTTCCAAACATTTCAAAAACGGTGGTACTGTGACTACTAGCGCCGTTATTTATCGTGATTATACACATGCTTATAAAAAAAAAATTAAAGAAAATCAAAATATTTTTAAAAATGTGTTAAGGTAGTTTCCGCAAATTTATAATAATTATAAATTTAGTTGAAAATTTAACAGAACATTCTTAACAGCTTCAACTTTCGATTGTTACCAAAAACCACGAAATCAACGATAAAATGTAGTTGATAGTGAAGGATTAATCACTTCTTATTCAGCTACAGAAAATGTTTTTTGAATATATTTTTTTTTTAATATTTTTATAAAAAATTGGCTGTTTTTTTTACGGAGATTATGATGGTATGAAAAAAATGTATGTTAACGATCGAATAAAACTAAAAATTAAGATCAATTTATGCAAACTTAAGATTTAATGCGTTTGGTTTTTGGTGGTGCTTCCGGGTGACAATAAGGAAAAGAATATTTGTTTTTTTTCCACTTATTTGTACATTTTGTTTTCCATTTTAGTATTTTGAAATAGTTTCAAATCTTAATCATACCAAACGTAATCGTACCAAACGCGGAAACCATCTTAAATAGTCTTGAAATGTCTATTATTTCTTGATTTTATGAAAATAAAAATTTTTTACACAAGATACCAAAAAAAATGCAATGAGCAGGTTAATTACACTTCAGATAACGCACTAGAATTAACGTATTCGAATTTCACCATAGTCCAGATAGCACAGGACATCTTAAAGACGTCCATTTTACGACTATTTTAGATCTAAGACGCCTTTAAGGTGTCTTCAAGGCGTCATTAGACATCGTGTGCTATCTGGGAACAGTTAAGTGTTAACAGGACAGTCCAACTTCAATGTATCAAAGCTCCACTGTGTAAGACGTTCTTACTGAACCGTGGTATCCAATTACACGTAACCAAAAACCTCCAACAGCTCTCTGCAACGACGACGCGAACGGCAACGTCCCTCTGGGCAAGTCCTGCAACCGTTACTGGCAATGTCAAGGCGGCTATCCACGGCTCCAGAGGTGTCCAGCGATGCTGGTGTTCGATCGAAGGTCGCTCAGGTGCGTGGTCCCGCCCACGGAGGACTGCGACGTGCCCACGACGCCCCCGAACCTCGACGGCGACCTTCCGGACGGTCGAAACGAACAGGAACCGGAAGAAGAAAATCTACCGCCAGGTGTACCGCCACTGCCAGCAGGAGCACTGCCGATTGCTCTTCGAGCTCGTCCCAGAAACTAGATAGAAGTGATCCGCTAGGGACGTGATCGAGGCGGTTCGATCACGGGTTGCGGAGAAACGGAAACGCAGGTCGCGAATCGTGACCGGAAACACGAAATTCGACGGTGCTGTCTGTCGCGCGGGAGCGTACTAATGATATCTGCGTTTGAATTAAATTGCATACACTGTCAGTTAATAATAATAATCGTTTATTTTGCGTGTAGGGGTCTGCGCCATCTGTCTTCACACAGTTTTGCGTTTTTGTGTTTGAAATAGATTTACTTTAACACCTTGTGGTTGTAGCGAATTAATGGATGTCAATGATGAAGTATAATTATCAGATGTAGACTCTGTTTTCTGGTACGAAAGAACTGCGGTACCTGTTTTGCATCTGGCAACTTCGTGTTACTTGAATTAAGACGTTTGCTACCTGTGTCATAGGTGTGTGACGTTCAAAAGCAGAATATGGTTTGCAATGCTCACCTATATTTTAATCTCTGTTTTATGTTCTTTTGATACTGAATCAAGAAGCTAAGAACAGCCCCCTGAATAGAATGATAGAAAGCTCTAGTGGTCTGTGACGGATGTTTTCAAAATAAAATTGTAGTATGCAAACGTGCTAAGGCCAAGAGGCCCGTGAACCAGTTTAGGATAGACAACACTCGTCCCCAGAAAATCAACATTTCACGACAATAAGAAACTTTATTAAGAATCATCGAATCGTCTTTAGTAGATACGATCAGTACGCTCTTGGCAGACTTTACAATTGGATGATGTCTTGTCGATCGAGTCTCGCGAGTGAATCAGTTGTCCACACGTTTCGCGCTGCTTTAACACTTCGACTGTCAGCTTCTGTGAAACTTCTACAGGGTTAGAAGCCTTTCTTCGACCAAATGAGAACTGTATAATTGAAACATAAATTATTTGTATTTAACAAAATTTTTTTCATTCGACACTTTACTATTAATTTTTAGCTGCAGACCAAAAGATGATGACACGACAGTCAAAGCGTTAAATTTTACTGTAGAAAAGTTGTTATAACTGAATGTGTACCGAATACTTTTATTGTGAAATTTAAATTGGAGACATTACGCCACACACTTGCAAATTGAAAACAATAATAAGGGTCTGATATTTTGGTGAATTACACGTAATCGGCGCGAAACGTGGTAAATTAAGATTTTTTTTTATGTGTATTCACCGCTTCGTTATAGCATATATGTAGTCGTTCTCGTCGGACAGATATTCTTACCCTTCTCTGTTTTTGGTCTCCTCTTTTTCTATTCTTGAGTCCATTGACCGTTCTATTTTTGTTCGTGCACGTTCTATAAGTTAAGAGGATTTAATTGTAAGGAACACATTTTCTTTAATCCCATCGATCACCGCGAGGATCGTTTACCAAGTATCACCATCCGTTCTGTATCATTCTTATAATAGTCGAAGTGTAAATACTCTTCTATCCCATCTCCTCTCACCCCCTTGCCCTTCGCGTTAATCGTAAGATGTACTATCGTGTAACGTTCACACTTCTACGGATTGTAGACTCGTTGAAATAAAGTGTACGTTGTATATTTTTTTTTTGTACTCGTGTCCACATTTTATTCGAATAATATTCGTAGTACATACCGTTGCTCTTATTAAATAAGACTTTTTAAATACAGGATACAGGTAAGTTTTACAAATTTCTTGGTGAATTATTACTAATTGCAGAGATTTATCTAGAAAATATCTTCATCGGGTAGAGAATTTTCCTTTAACCTGGATATACACGAATTTTCAATTTCGAAGATATTGTAACAGGCTTATGTATTTTTTTAAGTTCATTCCATATCCCTGTTTCACAATTTTCCAAATTATTATTTTCATATTATTATTATTTTAGAATTTTCCATTTATACAGAGTGCCGACTGAAGTAAACATAGAAGACGACTTTCGGGATCTTCGGATTGTTCGACTGACTTCCCTATGTTATTTAAAGGTTGTTAGCGCTGGAAAAGAAAATATTATTTCATGTAATTCTCGATTGAAAATTGTTGATTGGAACCGTGAAATTGGAACTAGTATAGTACCAGTGAGGCAATTCGTCGGGGTCCAAACAGGACAGGCTCACGGAATCGAAGAGTTTTCCATCTCCACACGTCAACAAACGGGGATAACCGTCGACGCAGGTAATCAGTCTACCGCAGTCACCTGGTACAGGGAATCTGAAAAATAAATGTGTCCCAATGCTCAGAATATCCTTCGATGAACGTTTAAGTTGTCTTACGTTAACAATTATCAATCGAATGATGTATTTATGTAATATAGAACTGTGTTCATTGATTCTTTTCTATGACATTCTGAGCCTATCTCGATGACCGCCATCTTGATTCCAAGATGGTAGTCACCTTTTCGAAACTATTTCTGCTTTTGCAGAACAAGATTGGCCCTGAAACGAAAGGATCAAGAAGAAGAAGAGGATAACGTATTAATAGTGGGCTTCAAAAAGTATTGCTATGCACACAATTTTCATAAATTATTTATCCTGAAATATTTTATAGGTTACGTTGCAAAATTTTGTATTATGCTACGTCTCCCAGATGGCACATGACGCCTTGAAGACATACATTTTACGGCTGTTTTAAGTCTAAGGCGCATTTAAGCCGTCTTCAAAGTGTCATGTGCTATCTGGGATAAAACTCAACGACATTTCCAATAATCATTCGTCATTATATTATAAATAAAAAATATGTTTTAGTTAGTCGTATGACTCCACTGTGCTCGTTTCTGGTACGTATGGCAATGTTGTTTTTGCACGCATGCCTATATATACGTCTGTGCCTGTTCAGATTTCCCGCGTATAGTCAATATTCAATATTCTTATATCTAAAGTTAATTGTATTCTCGTGCATTATAATTTAGAAAATTAGAATTCACTAAAACACAAAATAAGAAAAATATTTTTTAAGTTCATTTGAATTTCGCGGGTATGACACTACTTCAACAACGTTGCCAAGTCTCAACATAGTTCCAATAACTATCCAACAATCAACACATCCTGGACTTTATTATCAAAGATTTTCCTGTAATGTTCGGCGTAATACAAGATTTAATTAATCATCAGAAAGATCAGGATTTATACTTTCAGTACCTAGTTTTTGATTAAAAGTTCCAATTTCTGTGAAAAGAAAAGATTATACTTCCGGTAAGAAATCGTAAGACTGCCATAAGAACTGTGTGAAAAACTGAATTTTCGAGAAGCTTTTTCTTATTTATTTTATCGGCGAACAATGTCTCAAATTTTTCAAGTGTGTGTATTTCGTTCTAATAAACAATCTGCATGAATTTTACTTAATTATCTACCCTAGTAGCAATTATTGTTGGCATTTTGATGAGCATTTGATGCAGTATTGGTTGGCCAACAGTTAAAATTGTCACCCTTTTTTGCAACTGGGCCAACTATCATACCAAACGTAGGGCCCATGTCACTATAATACGAAGGGCCAACTGGAGGTTTCTTTCTGTAGGGCCAATTGTTGAGTATCTACAATAAACCAATAATAGGAAGACAGTTGGCTATACTATACTTACTTGCGCAGCGTTTTTTTTTTTGCGCCGGCAGATGCCAGGGTACTCATCTCATTACACGGCGAGGAGATGTAATGGAAAGGAAGAAGTTTGGTGAAAAAAAAAGCAAATTAAGTTCAGTAAAAAAAAGAGTGCATCTATCACAATAACTAAGGAAGGGTAGGATGTACACACCATCTGCACTTCGCATTGAGCACTTTTTGTCATTGCGAAGAGATTGGCTAGAAATGTGTTTGCTAAATTTCTGAAATCTCTCCTTTCTTCTAAAATAAAGTGAAACTAAAAAAAAAAACGGATCATAACAGTTCAAACGCTGCGACATCGTTTTAAAGAGGAAACGTACCGCAAAAGAGTCATTCACCAATTTTTCAGACCATATCGCAAGTTTCACTATCGAGGGCATAAGGTAAAAAAAATGTGATGAGTTCGGCCTTTGGCACAGGGGTTACGTGTACATTTAACTTGAAAAAAAACGTGGACACATGAAAGATTCCACGATTTTGGTTAAAATGGCATCGTGTTTTGTGAAAAATGGTAATTATGCAATATTTTACGTTATTTTGAAATGGACTGTATACGACGAAGGAAAATTTCAACAAATTGGCAACTGAAGGCCTTTAAAGAGAAATCTCACAGCTTTCAAAAATTCTTTCGGAATTTTCTATACGATCATGCGTTCGCAAGTTACAGGCGCTCAAAGTGGAAAGTGCCTTTTCTCATATGATGACGAATAACTCAGCCAATAAAAATTGTACAATAAAATTAAACAAACGAAATTAAGGAGAAAAGTTTGTTCTCTAAAAGTATTCCATTGGGATTACCAGAAAAAATTTTATTTGGCCCACGCATTCCCTTACAGTTGACCAACATTTTTTAACATTTGCTTGCTGCGCTTCATCTTTATAAAAGAAGGAACAAACTACATGAAAATAATTTGTGAATTCCCTATTCAAAAACTAAAAACTTCAGGCTACAGAATGGTCGTATACAATATTTTTTATAACTATTCTTCGCAGAGATATAGTCATTTAAAAATAAACCATATTTTCGGCAAATTTTAGTGGTCCCTTAATTTTGACGCTCAGTGTATATCCCTACTAACTCCCAACTGTTGAATGCCGTTGGCCAACTATTAATGCTACTAGGGTAGTCTTTCGAATTTAGCACGAACCACCTTAATCAAACTTAAATTGCGTCTCATATTCGGTGTCGTTACTCTAATGTTAACACGGCAGACGATGAACCGAGTAACCGTAGAACACATGTTTGTCTCTCAGCGGGTGTACTCGGTTCAGCCCTCCGCGATGGTAGACCGGTTTTTAATTTGCACGCCAGGTACACGCAAATCACTTGACATTTAAAAGGTACCCCGCTCCTTTTTTTTGCTTTTAACGTGAAACACACCCGGTCAGTATATTTTCTTGCGGCGCCGCGGTGACTCTTTCACCCGGCAATGTTGTTTATCGAGAAAGGTTCCCCGACTTTCACGCGATATTCCTTTTTTGCCGGTCGCGTAAGTCGTTGACGATAAAAATACGATCTACGAGTGATCGTGGGTATGTATTTTTAAGCAGAAGGGAACACGCGTCGTCTTTTCCTCCTTTTGGGTCTGAGGAAAGAAGCTAATGCCCACTCAGGAAGAAAATATTTTAGGATAATGTGAAGTAAGAATTCTTGAGGATTGGTCAGCCTTGGTACTTATTTACTCGAGATCAATGGAAGATAAACTTTAAATTTTGCTGGTGTCTGGAAATGAAGAATGTAACGATCGCGTGGAGAACATTTATTGTAGGATATCAAGAAATCAGAATTACGTTTCAATCCATGATGGGGTTGAAAGTTTTATACATATATCAACAGGGCAATTGATTTACTTGGAATCGGTATAATGTAATAATCTACTTCTATTTTCGAGAAATGAAGAATCTAACGATCGCGTGGGGAACATTTATTGTAGGATATCAAGAAATCAGAACTACGTTTCAATCCATGATGGGGTTGAAAGCTTTATATATCAACAGGGCAATTGATTTACTTGAAATCGGTATAATGTAATAATCTACTTCTATTTTCGAGAAATGAAGAATGTAACGATCACGTAGAGAACATTTATTGGAGGATATCAAGAAATCAGGATTAAGTTTTAGTCCACCATGGGGTTGAAAGCTTTATAAATCGTCATTATGACTGATTTACTTAAAACCGGTATAAAATCAAAATTTGTTTTTCTTTTCAGAAAACGGAGAATGTAACGATAACCTAGGGAGTACATATTGTAGATTGTTTTTGAATAGAGTATTACATTTTAATCCGTGATAGGGTTGAAGGCTTTATAACATGTCGTCAAAGCTTAAAACATATCGTCGGTTTGCTAGAAGAATGACATATCAAAAAATCATCGAGATATCTGCAAAAATTCACTCTAAAAGTGAACTATTTGTATCTGTTATCATAAAATTGTACTATTTAACAAAAACATTGTTACAATTCAGAGTAGGGCTGTTTTAAAGTAGCAAGCCATGAACAATAATTAATTACAGTTCCTCAAAACCTAAAGACTATTAGTTAAAATGTAAAAGAAAAAGAATTTTTGTATTGTTAAACCGTTGAGTAATAAATAATTCTCTGCTACAATAAATTGAAACTGATTTCTTGAAAAATTTACTTTTCTAAGAAAGAAACAATTAAACAAAACAAACTAGGCAGTTTTGTTGGTTATTTAAACAATCAAACATTGATTGCTTAATGTAACATCGATGGTACAGTGTGTTAAAAAATTATAGGTTCAGTCATAGTTATGTTCGTAACTCGTAACACATGAAAAACTGTATCAATCAATCTGAAATTTTCCAGGTATTAGGCACTTATTATGAAATTTATATGTTAAACATTATTTATAGATATTGTGTCAAAACAAAATTAAACATTTTTTCTGAACGTAGTCAAGTTCTGACCGTGAGTAAATGATAGGTTTACTTGCTAAAAAAGTGGTCAAGTGATGTGTTAATGCCAAAAAACTTAATATATCATGAAAAGTAATAAGAAGACTGCGGATTTTATGTATTTACAGTCTATAGGGCTCTGCAAAATCCAATAAAGGACAAAACTTACATCATTTACAACGGGTTTTCTGGTTTATTCTGAACCCAGTAAAATAGTTAAGAGAGAAAAGAAGTTCCTACACTTGCTCCTGTCTTAATAAATTACTTCATAAAATGTAATTTTGTATAAAAATTCGCAGTCTAATGATAAGTTTATTAAATACTAATTTTCATCGTATACATATAACCACTTTTTTAACAAGTGAACCTATCATTTATTAACAGTCAAAAATTAACTACATTCAGAAAAATTTGATAATATAAGTGCCTAATACCCTGAAAATTTCAAAATTCATTGATACATCTGTTCATGAGTTATGGCTATAACTATGACTGAATCTATTATTTCTTAACAGACTGTATCCTTAATTCAGATACTGTAGGGTTGATATCCCAATTACTGCCACCTTAAGATTCTTGCATAACTTCATTTAATCATTTTATGTGTTATTTAACTTAAAAATCGTCCCAGTTTGGACAATAATGTTATTTAACATCTCTTTCAGTAAAAGGCAAAGTTTCATACATTAAACATGAAGAATTAATTGATAATTAATTAAAGTCTGCGAGCAAACTCATTGTCTCTATAATTGTCACCACAGAAATTAAAGCAATACTTATATGTATATAATACTTCAACAATTCATTGTCTGCAATAGATACAGGTTAAATTGTAAAATTACGACTCTTTGTCTAAGATGATTTCACCATCGCTTCCCATTTACGTATGTACATAGTTGCGTTTTTGATGCTCAAATTCCATTTTCATTTTGCAACATTAATTTTTAAACACCAGGTACATACAAGTACACGTATTTGTTTGTTTTTATATAAATCAGAGTCTCAATTTAATAATATGTTTTTTGTACACAATTCTTTATACATTATGCTTTTATCAAGTAAAATAAATAAAGTGGCAATATTAGGGGCACTGGCCGTAATTGGAACATTTACCCTATGTGATTCACGTACCTTGGATGGGGCCAGAATTTAGCGGCGGCGCTGTGGGAAGGCACTTTGTGGGGGCATTTAAAACCGACAATTTCCTCTGGATTGCAGTAAGGCAACAGTTGATCTGGCCAGACACAGGTGTGACTCTTTTCTTCGTACACTAATCCAGCGTCGCAGTGTGCTTCTTTCGGTATACCGTGGACACACCGGATATATGTGGTACTGCAAGCATCGCTGGCGGGATATAAGCCGAATTGGTACTCGCAACCGGGACTGCTGAGGGGTGTAACTGAAAATGATATTCCGTAAGGTCAGGGATCGAAATAAACAGTTGTCTTTCATTTTTTTTTTAAATTTTGTTCGAACTTATGTTTCGTTTAAGAAAATATTTGGACCTATGGAATTTTTATGGAAAGAAATATTACCCTTGGGAACTTGTTTAATAAGTGTTCTCATGGAACAGATATTTTAGAATCTGTGTAATAAAAGTTCCACGGAAAATTCCATAAGATAAATGAAAATACCAAACTGTTAGTAGTTTTATTTAACAATATAATCTTATATTATTGATATATTTATTTAATTAAGAGTATGTTATTTATCATAACATAAGTAATTAATAGTTTCATAAGAAGTAGTGAACAGAAAAAAGAACTTGTCAAAAATAATACCTAATTAACATTTTTTTGTAACTTAAATAAATTAAAATACATAGGAATTCTCAATTTATTTTAAAATCCAAAAGAAATCTATCTCTAAGAAATGTATTCCGCTGTCTAGAATACGCTGATAAATTCTGTGACAATGATTCGGAATCACCCTGTACAAATAGTACGCGTTAAAAAGCGTATATAAAAAAATATACAGTCTGTTAATTACATAAATACACTACACATATTACAATCCATCCGCATGGATGTAAAAGTAGCTCAAGTTCTAGAAGAAATAACCCGCCACACAAAAAAACACAAAGAACGAATAGATTCTCACACCAACCTAACAACTTTGATACGCTTCGAACCAATCTTGAGAAGACTAAAACGGAAACACTTCATAGATCTCCTCAAGTAAAAGATAGGATCTATTCAAAAATATAGTAACTATTTTGAATTAAGCGCTTTTCCCACAATGGTGGGTTGAGCTACATGTTAACTTTAATAACTACATAATACGTGTATTTGCTTATAGTCATCATGACAGATTGTAAATAAGAATAAGGACTTAATAAGTACAAACAAAAATTATTTATTAAAAGGTTATTACATTCTTCGGAATTTCTATATTCTAAAGCAAAATCCTAGTATTAAGTCTATAATTCAATGGTTAATTTGTAGGTTAGATTTGTGACAAATTTGAGTACATACTATTTTTCAAAATAAATGGAAATGGGTAATTTTTGTATGTCCGATTTTTAATCAGAAAATCACAATTTGTTCTTTGAAACGTATATATTTTATTACTACCACAATATTAAGTTTTTTTCATATTATTTCGTGCCCTATTACGCACATCTGTCTGCATGAATAATACACCTGGAATTTGCCAATCAAAAACATTGCAGAAGGTCGGCTGAAGAACAATTCCAAAACAATTCCCTTTCAGATATAATATTCGTCAAACCTTACTTCGAGGAAAACTTAAGCTCGATTAAATATCGGGAGGTCAAATGTGGTCAGTTTCCTGCAAGCATCCGGCCGCTTCGCATCGATGTACGCTTTCAGTCGCGTTGAAAGGAAGTCCGCACACTTCCGGAAATACTCTGTCGTCTTACTCTTGTTTCTGTTTTTCTATTAAATTTCTCTTCTACGTGCATCTAGACTGTGTATTTTATCCATTTACTGAAATATTTAAATATAGAAAACACGATAAAATGGAGACTTTAATATGATAAAGACGCCATTTATTTTCAGCCTAATGGAATTATCGTTGAAGAAAACCAACTTTTGATCATCTTTGATATTCGAAGAATTTAAATTTACATAAATATTCACAGTCTAGTTATTGCATTCTGTGAGTGTATATCTGAAGTTTTGAAACAAAATTTGAGTGAGTGAACAATGTTATTTCAAACAATTCGGGGGTGTTGCGCAGAAGACTACGCGCGTGCAGCGGACAGAGGCGGGAATTTTAAAAACTTGTGCCAAGTGGACGGTGAGTCTTAAACGCTACGTATATTTAAATATTGTATTATTATACTTGTTAGGTAGACTGCTAATATTATACTTTTTTCGTAAATGTGAGTAAAATATTTCGTGAAGATTAGTATGAATTTTACTTTACACTGGATCCAAAAAACTGTCTATAAAGAAAAGAAATCTCTGAGAAAATTTCTGTTCAGTAAATTGACTAATAAAAATCTGAATAATGCTTAAAGATCCGCAGACTAGTGATAGAATTATGCCGCCTCATGCATAACATTGTGGGCGATTCCGTTAGTGGATAATATAAATACACCCATTGTGTATTGTTTTACTATTTTTCTCTAGTTATGGCTAATAACTTGAACACGAACAAGCTCTTACATTAATTCGTACCTATTTCCATATAATACATTGCAAATACCTTGCACAATAGCTGACTAGATGATCACTAGACTGTAGATTGTTTTACTGTTATGCATTTTTAACTTCAGTCTTAAGTCTGTGCATAAATCTTTAAATTATTTTACAGAAATGTGAACTTGTGCAAACAGCCGCAAACGTAAATTTTTAGGCGGTAATGTCTAATATATTATAACGAGGTGGAGATTTGAAGGCGAGGTCTAGATAGGAAAGTGACTGTAAAGTTAGGGACAAAGAAATGGGGAACAGATAGTAGTAGAATATGTGTACAAATATTAAGAAGAAAAGAGGACAATAATAAATTTACTAGATGCACCAATAAGTAATTCATTGTGGCTTCGATATGGCAACAGTATAGTTGAATTTCAGAATATTTTTCCTGTCTTCTGCTTGGATAAAATAAGGGTGGATAATGGAAGCAAATAACGTACACTGTAAAAATAGGATAGAGATTCGAATTATATAGAAACATGGAATTTCACAATAATTGTGGATTATTTACTAGTTCCTTTAATAGTAAACAAGGACATTTTATATGTTTAAATGGCTCAAAAGAAATTACAGGTCTTATATTGCACCCGTTGTGCCCCCAATAATAGCGTACAATTCCGAGAAATTTTTTTTATTCAAGAAAATCTAGGTGTTAGGACCATAAGAAAAGTATGTTTTATAAAACCAACATTCATTTCAATAAAATTGCTCGTGGTAACAATCATTTAATTATTTCGAGCAGTTTATAAATGAAACTGTGTTAAACTTTGATCTATTTAATTTCACTTTCATCTAAATAAGACTAGAATCCGACATTGAGAAAATAAAGTACCGAAGAAAGTAGTCATTAAATTCTCAATAACGACGTAAACTGACAAAAACAAGTTTTGTACCCGAGTGAAATACAATATACTTCGCGTCAAATGTTCATGATGAATGGTACCGACGTGACACACTGAAGCAAGGTTACCAAAATTCAGTTCAGTCATGCAACTTTTACTTTCTTACACAGATGATACACGTGTGTCCATAAGTTTCTTTGCCTCGAAATCGGGAGTGAAACTTTCTCAGAATACAACTTTTACTTAAAATTTAGAGTTGTTCTGAACACGTTTTCTAGGCTCTATATTGGTAATATTAATTTTTTTATAAAGAAATATTCTTGACTACCTACTTCCATCAAAAGAGGAATATTTTTATAGATTCTTTATATGTATAGCAAATTCTTGTAAAGCTGGTAATGTTATTTACTTTTTCAATAATTTCTATTTATTTTTTCACTGGCTAATATCGCATAAAAAATTTTATATAAAAAAAATCTTTAACCATCCAATTGGAAGATTCTATCATTACGAACAGAATAATCCTAAAAATTTTGTAGAAATTAATTAACTTTTCACTGAAATCAGAACAAAAAAGTCGAGTTTCAGAAAAAATGAATACACGTTAACCAAGAAATTAATGAATAATAATCGCAATCAACTGTCCAAGAATAGACTCAGCTATTTCAATTACTCCTTCACTCTATTATCTGTAAAAACTTGCTTTAACTTTCCCTCACGAATAATAAATATAAGTAATCAAAATTTCGTAACCCTGTGAGAAAATTTTTAAAAATGTGGAAAGAAATATTAAAAATTGGAAAGAAAGTGTCATCCTATATGCATGTCTGCATTTTGTATTTCAAAAAATACAATTACTTTTTTCAGATAATGTACGTATGCTTGCACAATCATAAATATTTGTATTTACAATGTATGTTAATTTTTTATACAATAAGTTAATTGTCAATTTTATCATTTGATATCTCAAATTGAAGCATGAAAGCACGAAGATGTTTAAAACAAGATTCTTGCACTTTTCACTAAGATCACACTTTTACAGCTGCATTTTGCAAATTCAATTATATTATTTTATTTAATAATTATTTATACTTTATGAGAATGGCCTACGGTCAAATTGGACATTTGCAGGCAAAAAGCCGTTAATTCATACTGGACATCGTTTTCGGTAGCTATTCCGTAATAATTTAACTGCTTCGCATCAATTAATTTTTCTACTTCTATAAAATTGCTACGGTTTGATGTTGAATTTGTAAATTCAAACAAACTACTTAACGATAGAAACATTATTGTAACTTCTTTTTTAATATTCGTTTCTTTATAACGGTATACGACGCTCGTATGACATGAGTCCCATTCTGACCTGATCGCAAAGCTTCGGAACTACAGTGGCGTCCTCACTGTCAGATTCCAATATACACGGTGGTCCACGCAACTTGTTCACCCTGAATAACTTCTAAAGTATGCATTGTATGAAAACATTTTTTTTGTAGAAAAGTTGTATGGTTTGGAGGAATACATTATGTAATGCATATATTTTTTTTGTAAGTGGAGGCGTTTCAGAGATTTGAAGGTCAACTTCTTTTTTTTTAATGGAATGCTATATGTTTTATGCCAAAATATCGAAGAGCGTTAAATTTTGAGTAAAAAAGTACTGACCTCTATTAGTCGTAAACTTAATAATTAACGAATAATTTCACTTTGTTTCTTGAAAATGGTCTGTGCGTAATATTAAGTTGGATATTCAATAGCAGCAAAGCCACCAGCAAATCACTGTTACTATATGGCTACGTATTCGAAATTACAAAATAATATATTAATATCATATATGTTTTCGTATCTGTATGTATGTACATAATAGTTTGTTCTGGTCTTGTATAAATAAATGGCACGATACATTATTTTTATATGCTTTTAAAGGCTTACTGGTAAAATAAGAATTATTGTTCTTTTTTTCTTTCATTTGCTGGAACTCAAGTGTTCAATATTGTCAGCAATACAATAAGAACTTATAAAACTGTAATTTCTTTTAAATATTTCAAAAAGTTTCACCGATCAAAGGCAGCATAAATGGATCTTATTACGTATAATAACTTTATAATGTCTATTATTATACATAACTTTGAGACATAATAAAATGTCGAAATCTTGTTGTAAATTATTTATGTGTCGCGTAATATAAACAAAAGTACAAAAAGAAATAGTTCTTCGTAATTATTAGATAATGTGTGAATATAAGGATTAACTGCTTCCAAACTTTTGAAGGGGAATGTACATACTGAAAAAACCGTATTACTTATGGGATAACCCAACAACGGAATTGTTCTCATTAACGAATCCACGGTTGTCGCGCGTAAATCCATATAGTTACCGACAAAAAATAAAACCTTGGCGCACACTTCGCCACGCATTTGTTATGACTAGACTGCGTATTTTATACATTTATAGCTCATAAGGCTCTGTGAAATACAATAAAAAACAAAACTTTCATCGGTTCCAATGATTTTTCTGTTTTCCTCTGAACCCAATAAGATATTTAAGAGGAAAAATAAATTTCTACATTTGCTCCTGTCTCTATAAATTACTTTAGAAAATGTTATTTTCCATAAAAATTCGCAGTCTAGTTATGACACCATCCAACGATTATCGAGAGCGTAACGCGATACTTACGGTCAACCTTGCGATCTCCGCACTTCACCGCCCAGTTATAGTTGCAATGGTCGTGGACGGCTCCATGGCCGTCGAAAAGCAGCCCGTTCTCGCAGTACTCGAGGGTCAGGGTGCCGTTCGTGCATAGGAAGTACGCGTTGCAGCTCTCCGGATGGGCGTACGCCTGGACGCCGTACGCTTGGGGGCAGGGTGGCGCGCCCAGAAGGGTGGCTCCGTTGCCTGTCAAAAAATTCAAACGAAAATCAAACAAATCATCCCTTTAACTCTTTAGGGTTAGGTGGGTTGAAAACTGTCCCACCTTTTGCTTAGCTTTTTATACATGGTGAGATATATTTTAACCCACCTCGAAAAGTTCAAGTTACTCATCGTCGTACAGTTTAATATTTTATTTTTATATAATTTTTTTTATATTAAAGACAATTCTGTGCAACTAGGGTTTTTATTTTTTTTTAAATCGTGTGCCTCAAACAGTTCAGTGTGGATTATACAGGATGTCCAACCATAGTTAGCTACTTAGTTAGTTAGTTAAGAACGTGTCTCCCGGGAGAGGAGGTTTCGGTACCTCCTCCAAGGCCACAACTCGGCTCATGCACACTTGCTTTCACAAAGCCCTTCAATTGGGACTAGGGTAGGCATTACCCCGGGGAGCTTATTACCCCCGACTTTCCAACCGTTCCAGCTTTTTTAGGCCCGAGCCACATCAAGGTTGGGAAGTACTCGTGCGGGGAGTGGAGAGTTATTAGGATCGTATCATGTGAAAATATTGACGATTATTGAGCAATCGGAATATTCCTATTCTGACAGATTAGTTAAACATAGATAATTTTACTTTCATACTTTACCAAAACTCTTAGTTTTACCTTCCTATAATATATCAAGTGCTGTTTTAGACAAGAACATAACAAACTGTGAAAGGAAATTTAGAAACGGATACCTGGGTACCCGAGTACCCGGTTGCCTATACAAGGGTTAAATATCTCTTTTGCTTTTAAAGATAGAATAAAATATAACACAAAACTATTGGGTTGGAAGGGGAAAATACTGTGATAATCAACAAATCGTTCTTAAGGTCATACTTTTGGAAATTTTAAGGTCATCGATATTTTTTTAAATCGGACTACATAGGTAGGGGAAAGGTGTCTGAAACGATCCCTTGGGGTAAAATGATTCCTGGCTGCCCTGTGGCTATTAGTGGTGCTATATCGTAATGTGGTTCCACAATAGTTCTCCTCACACGTCATCAGTGCTCTGTGTCTTGTCCACAAGAAAAATTTAATATATAATTTAATATAATTAATATAATTAAATAATTTAATATAAAAAAAATAGTTTTGTTTTAAAATTACTGCAATTTATCTAAGATAAGATCTTTTTCAATGTTGTGTAATTTTTGCCATAAACGGTTTAATGTGACAGCTGCTTCTTGCGCGAATTTAACCACAATTCAATAATAAGCTAATTGATGTTTTGCTACTGCATGTAATAAGTTGAGGTTATATTCAACCACTGAATGTGAGTTGGGCGTTCGGGGTCATATAATCTCTCTCTAGTAGGATAAAATAATCCCAGGAATCATTTTACCCATATGCTATATTATTGTTTTTTGTTCTAGTTACCATAATGCTCCGTCAGTATAAAAGAAAAACAACGCTTCAAAGATGTTTTTATTTAAATAAAATGCAATAAATGGAATGCTTTTTAATGTTCGTCGTATTTACTATCAGTAGGCATATACCCGGGGATCATTTTATACAGATACATTACAAACTGATCCTTAACCTGTTAACCGGGTGATTTCTCGCCGAGGAACTTCCAAATGGACACAATTAAAAATGAATAACGACGATTTAATGTGACTCTGCATGCGGTAGACATCGGTTACGATGTAATTTACACTACCACAGACATTGTAATTGATTGATTGGAATTTTCCAAAGATACAATTGAAGGTAAACGACGAATTAACTCGTTTTCCTCGGTTGACAGGTTAAGTATACCTTCAAAGAAATGTGAATAAAAAATATAATTGATCAGGTAACTAAATTTTATTTAAGCCAATGGTAAGGTAGATAGACTAACTTACAAAAACTATTTTATTTTTATTTAGATAATGAGCATTTGTATTTTTTATATAAATTACGCCTTAAAGGGATCGTTCTAGACACCTTTCCTCTAGATGTTTTTATTGTCGTGACATAATAGTTGAGACCAAGACCGATTCAATGACCTATAATAGTATGACTTTCATGTGACCTTGAGTACGAAAAATGCATTATTATCTGTTATTATCTCTACAGAGTGTAACAAAAATGTTGGAGGGTACGGAAATGGGAGACTCGTGAGTTGATTTGAAACAAGTTATTCCTTAGCAAAAATGTTATCTGAGACTTTGTTAACGGGATATTAATGAAAAACCCCGACCAATCAGAGCACAAGTCTGCCAGCCGAGTTCCCGCGGTAACGTTGGCTACGTGCTGCGATTGGTAATTTTTTCATCTATTGTTGCCGAGAAAATTTTCTGGGTTTTTTTTAAATGAAAACCATACTGCTTTTTTCAAATTATTCAACGTGTAGATAAGATTTTGGTCTTATCAAATCCCTGATTTGAGGGCCAACAAACATGCCTTTTTTTATTTTCGCATTAGATATGCGTGGAAATTTTGCTTTCAAGTATCTAAATACAGGTCCTGAGTTTTCCATTGGTACTTTCGGTGTCGATCACGCGTAGCTACGGCACTGAGGAGTCCAGGTGAGCGAACAATGGCCGCGTGATGATAAAACGCCGCGGACACGTTGCCGACGGATATCTTCTCGACCTGTCCGAATTAAAAACCGTTCCGACACTTTATTTGGATGGTTTCTGCTACAGAAATGTCTACAGAATCCGATACTGTGCAGCAAATTCGGGCTAGGTAAAGAACTTTTCTTAAAAACGTAAAAATAGTGCATAGAAAATACGCACATCGGCGCCCTGTTAAACTTTCACGGCAATTTACAACCATTAAAAATTATACAATTTAATAACTAGGGGGTAAAATAAGTGTTTGCACACGCAGATCTTTTATAATAAAAATATTGAGTGAAACGAACAATATACAATAACATAAAATATATCATTTGCAAGTCTTCCTATAGTTAACGTTAAGTAAGGTAATTAAAACTTTTATAACATAGGAACCTGTAAAATTCCGTTCAAAGAATGGGTTTGTGCAAATCCTTTTCCATAACCCGATTTCTTTGTAAAAAATTATGGAATAGAATATATTATATATTCATATATAAATTATAAAAAGGGTTTATATTGCAAATTGTTCGTTAAGTAAGAAAAAAACGCCCCAAAATTCACAGTATAATATAAAATAGCATCGATAGTAGACTCTGAGAAAATGAAATTGTGTATTGTTATAAAAGATTAACATTTTACAAATCGAGAGTAAGTTAACGAGTTCTTTCATATTATAAATTAATGATATTAATATTTTTTTTTACAATTACGCTTACTGTTGTTACGCTTATAGATGTTCCATTATGGTGCCTAAGTTGCGGAATGTGTTTAGACAGTTTCCATTTTTTGTTAGTAATTTGCAATTCTAAGATATAAAATACATAAATATATTCAGAAAACCAGTCGCCAGACAATCACGGTGTGAAGGTAGAGCAGAAATATCTTTGAAATCAATAACTTGTGTTCTAATATCGTACATTTGATTGATTTTCATAAAATTTTATTGAAATGAAAAGATCAGATTCTGAATTATACATCCAAACAAAATTTAAGTCCGTAACAGAGAATGTCTTACCTTCGTGTAAAATTAAAATAACTTTAACTAATAATTAGAACCGAACTACAAAGTTTATAAAATGTTTATACAACATGCGTTCTTTAATTTTTTAAATACATAGGATCAGTAGGAGTTGAAATCTTATTCGAGTACATAATAAAATTCATAAAACTTTAAATTACGGTATTATGTTTACATGTAGTTTACATCTGTTTCTATGGGATAAGTATATTATTCGTTATATATTTGTTCTGTTTCTATACATTTTTAAAAACAATACTTTTACAAAAGAAGTATTGATATGAATTAACATGACTTTATCCAGTTAGAATCATTGTAAAACACTTTGAAATTTCAGTAAGTCTCTTTTGCGATGAAAATAAATTCCACTAGAAACAATGCTGATAATGTATCGAAACATTGAAATGATAAATTCACAACTGTGAATATCAAAACGTAAAAGCAATCGGAGGCTGCAAACAGACGATCGACCGGCAGTCACGAAGCTTCACGATTTTGTCTTGCATGAGAGAGCACGCTGGTAAAAGAAACTGAATAAAAAGTGGATCACGATGCGTTCATGCACCGTCGAATCGAAAGTCGCCGCTTCTTTATAGGGAGAAAAATTCCGGAAAACGAAATCACAAAAATCGTCGTTGATATCCGAGACCGTCACAATAGAAAGGAAGTAGAGTAGTGACGAGGGAATAAAGAGAAAGGGAACGAACTTAATACATTAATAGAAAGAGAAACTCACACACTGTAACAATATTCACCTTACACAATTCTATCAAATTCGTTCAGGTATTCAGGATAAAGTAACTGAAATATTCCAATTATAACTATTTCCAAAAGAAAAATATTACTATCTAATTGCTGCTATTCGATTAAAAATATTTCAATATTAAGAATACTCCAATATTAAAAGTATTACAATACTGCAAATATTACGATATTGAAAATATTACAGCATTAAAAATATTACAATGTTGAGAATACTTCAATATTAAGATTATTACGATATAAAAAGTATTACAATACTGAAAATACTACAATATTGAAGATACTATAATATTGAAAATACTATAATATCCAAAATATTACAATATTGATAGTATCACAATGTTAATAACACTAAAATTAAGAAAATGGTATTATACTTGTAATTTGCATGAATGCATAGAATAGTTTCACGCGAACTTTGCGAGGCATCTTCGATACATCAACACTGAATCCCCTAAGGCCCCAAGTAACCGGAAGGATCACGAGCATAGATCACCCAGGAAACATAGTCGATCCAAGATTAATGAACCGCGGGAATAAAGTCATAAATACCCGGGATATTCAAGATAATAGGTGAGACTAGTAGCACCTGAGGCCATAAACAACCCAGTACTGGTGGCTAATTGAATTCAGGAACTTCTAGGCGCCAGGTATCCTCCAACAAACCTGAACACCAAGATTCCAGCAGCGCAATAGTAAGGACATACGAATGATAAATCACACTGGTAGAACAAAGATAGAAACCCACAGTGAAAGAGAAAGGGGGTTGGAAGAAATGAAGGAAGAAAACAAAAATCGAGAGACGAATAGTCTTCAAGGTGCGCATGAGTAATGCACCACGGGTAGATGGCAAGCATCGATACGCCCGATGCACGTCCGGAATAATAGACTAGGAAGGCGTAAAACGCTAGACCAGACTCGGCCGCCATTATATCATAGGTCGCCACGGTTGCAGCCATATGGCGAGAGAGGAGCCCTGCTTCGGCTTGGGACCGTTAGTGAAAGTTATTGAAATTCAGCCACGTGGGTGTCGTAACACCGTGGAACAGGGGAGCACAAGATCCGAGGAGAGATAATACGCCTGCCGGGATGCAACCCGGAGAACGGCGATGTGCACCGTTCGAGATGCATCGTGGGGGCCCCATGGGATGATGCGTCGTAGGTCCCATGGGGGAGAAACGCGTGGAATGGGTGGTGGTGGTGCTGGTGGTTCGAGGTGGCGCACTTGGGTGCTGATTGGTGGCAAAAAAAACTTACCGCAGGCCAGAAAAGCCGCCAGGGCCAATAAGGTCAGGCTCCACAGATGGCTCATAGTACACAGCTGGACTGCTGGGGTCTGATCCGGCACGGGTCGACTCTGACTACTGACACTTAGTTATCGACCTCGGGACAGAGTGCTCCTCCCTTCACTTGGCTGCCGCCATCTACGCTCTTTGGGTATCTCGATACCCCACCAGAATCGTTCACCGGGATTTCATGGCAAGCGATCGTGCGGTCTCGGTCCGATGGCGAATAGAGCCGAGCGTCTCGTCGCGTTTCGTCGCTTTCGGTTTCGTTTCGGGCTATGGCCCGGATAGGGTATAGACTAGAGATTCCTATTTCACGTGTATTTAAATACACGTGTACACGTATTTAAGTACGTGTCATTTAAAGTACAGGGATACACATGCATATTGATTCCTATTTATTTTTAGGATACAGTTACTAATTTCCGAGAGCAAAATATAGTTATACAAAATAGATGTAAAATTAAATTTAACAACCAGTCCCATTAATATAGGGTGAAGCCGAATAAGGGGATAAACGTGCCTTAAAATATACATAAAAGCCTCATAAATCTGGTCCTCGTAATATTCTTAACAACATGACTAAATCCTATCCTACCTAAATCCTTAAATGTCATTTAGTTAGAAATTTTAAAATATATAATTTATGTAATAAAAAAGAGTATATGCAGGGCATCAAACCCATGATCAAAAACTTCTCTACGGTTACATTGTAGAACGCTTAACCGACTACACCAACGGTGTTCTTGGGAATAACGTCAATATTTTAACGTATAAAGTTGAAGCACAGTTTTAATTACGTTTGTCCAACTTCTTTAATTTATATATTGTTTTGCTAAATGTAGATGTACTTAAAATCGTATAATATACTTACTTAATAAAGTAAACTAAAAAATGCAAAGTACTAGTGTACGCTATTTCCATGCAAAGACGTCGAAAAAATCGAAATACGGGTTTCGATTTTTAAAACTACGGCATACCGTGACAAAAAATCTCCAGAAAATTTAGAACAATACTTATGACTAGACTGCAACTAACTATGCGAACTATGCTTTCCAAAATTAGCAACTGTATTTTCAAAATTACTACGAATCGAAATGCAAAGTCAGACGGTATATTTAAATATACGTGAAATAGTACACGTGTACTTAAATACACGGAAAGAGTACACGTGTACCCGTGTACTTAAAATGACACGTATTGACATACGTGTATGTGAGATACACGTGTACACGTATGCTTTTAATACACGTTCAGAATCACGACTTCTAGTGTAGACAGTGGCGTCACTAAGGGGTAACACTGAATGTTTTCAAATGTATGTTAAAACACTCCATTTTTGACAATTTTACGATTGCAAGCCCTTTTCGAAATAGTAATTTCTTATTTGCCGAGAAACTTGTCGAGGGATAATATTGTTAATTAGACACACGAGTGTACTAATAGATTAAAGTTGTGCTACGTCAGTTACGTAGTTTGCGCAACGTTGAGAAAGTATTATGTGAAAAATTAGTATTATAATAATACCATTTGAGTAATATTGTTAATATTGTAGTTTATGGTTTATTATTAACTGCTAATTTTGTATTGAACTTTATACAATGTTTTGTATAATACTAAGAGAGAAAAATGTCCGAATTTTCAACGGCTGCAGGGTAATTTTTGGTACAGAATTGAAGGGCTCAGCGGAAAAGGAGCACATGCCACATCTACGTCGATTTTTAGGTATTTGTACCATCAACAAACTCTAACCATCTGGCGTCCATGCCATGAATTTCAGGTTCCGTGGCACATACACTTTCGTAAACAGAAGCATATTAAAATTCCTTGATATTGAAAGCAAACAAATTCTTAGTGGAAAACTAACACATACCACAATAATATTGGGTTGGCAAGAAAGTAATTTCGGTTTTGTAGTGTGAAATAAAACTCATTTTTTTTATACAAAGAATAAACTTTAATCAATTATATATTTTCCATTTTGTTCAATGACCTTTTGCCATCTTTCTTGCAGCTTCAGGATTCCGCGCTCATAGAATTTCTGGTCCTTATCAGCAAAAAACTGAACCAACTGCGACTTAAGGTCATCATCATTTGTAAAAGTTTTACCATTCAAAGAGTTTTGCAAACTTCGAAATAAATGGTAATCAGATGGTGCCATATCAGGGCTGTATGGGGGATGCGACATCACTTCCCAACCAAGCTCCAATAATTTCCCACGAGTTACTAAAGATGTGTGAGGCCTTGCATTATCATGGTGGAACACAATTCCTTTGCGATTTGCCAATTCTGGCCGTTTTTCTTTTATTGCTTCATCCAGTTTCAATAGTTGTTGACAGTAAACATCTGAATTGATCGTCTGGTTTCTTGGAAGCAACTCAAAATACACAACACCTTTGTAGTCCCACCAAATTGACAACATGACCTTTTTTTGATGCAATTCAGCTTTAGATGTGGATTGTGCTGGTTCATCACGCTTGGACCATGATCGTTTTCGAATAATGTTACTGTACATGACCCATTTTTCATCACCAGTGATGATACGTTTCAAAAAAGGATCGGCTTCATTGCGCTTGAGATGCATATCGCAAATATTGATTCGTTGTGTTAAGTGAATCTCTTTCAATATATGCGGAACCCAAATATCGAGCTTCTTAGCGAGTCCAAGACATTTTAAGTGATTTTCAATTGTTGTATGCGATACATTTAACCTCTCTGCAATCTCTCGAACAGTTATGTGACGATCCTCTTCAATTATGGCTTTGATTTGGTCATCATCAACTTCAGTAGGTCGACCAGAACGTTGGTCATCTTTGAGTGAAAAATCTCCAGAACGGAATTTTTTAAACCAATTCTGACACGTGCGATCTGTTATGCAATCAACACCATAAACTTCACATATCTCTTTGTGGGCCTCAGCAGCTTTCTTTCCTTTACGAAAATAAAAGAGTAAAATATGCCGAAAATGTTCGTTTTTGCACTCCATGTTAAAATTGACCTTGAACTAACAGCTACAAACAAAAATTTGCACAACTTGCTTCTGAAGTAACCTAAATGTGACTGATATCAAATGTCAAAAGGAAAAAACCATAACGCAGACAGGAGTCCTTCAAAACGCTTACAACGCTGTCTATGCGTCACAACCGAAAATACTTTCTTGCCAACCCAATATAAATAAATTTACACGACTACTTTTAGAAAAACAACTATAATTCAGGAAATTCAGTATTAACACAAGTTAAGTTATAGTTGTTTTTCTAAAAGTAGTCGTGTAAATTTATTTATAGTATTGTGGTATGTGTCAGTTTGCCACTAAGCCCTTCATTTGCTACAAGCTCTCCAAAGAGACAGAGTGGCATGGGTCTCTTTTCCGCTAAGAATTTGTTTACCATCTACTATTCCATCTACAATAACAACAAAGTTATTTTAGTTGGTAACAGAGTAGATGGTAAATAGCAATTACAGTAAATCCTCGGTGAGTGTCGAAGGCTCCTTGGCACTAAACATTAAATATTTTATAAACTAACGGCCACATTCAGCTGCAACAAATACCATTGACTTCAGAATTCCAAGCTTTATCATTGTGCTAAACCTTATTGAAAAGCTAGCATTACACCTGGGGACTTCTCCTTGTCAGTGCTGAGGAGCCTTCGAACACTCATCGAGGATTTACTACAGTATGAAATTTTGACTTGAAAGTACATATCATACAACACGTTCTTAATAATCTAAAAAAAAGATTACGGCTATTTGGGCAAAAAAAATTTTGTACAGACATATAATTGTGCCCTTTTCATTCAATCCGAATTGATATGTGAATGAGGAACATTTTCAGATTATTAGAGGACGTGTCATGTAATATAAATTTAAAGTCAAGATTTGACAGTTACTGCCATTTACCATCTACTTTAATTACTAACTAAAATAACTACTAGTTAATACCAAATTTCCTGAGAAAATGATTTTTCTTAAAAGTAGTTTTGTAAATTTATAGTATTATGGCATGTACCCATTTTCTACTGACAAGGGAAGACACGGAAGTGTCCCCCTCCGATTTTTATGAAACTTCGTATGTCTGTTAAGCATTCAAAAATAAGGGATACGTATTTTTTTTATCGGTTGAGACGCGACTTTAAGGGGTGAGACCACCCCTCGAAGTTTCGATCCGAAATTTTATTGTTATAAATAAATTATATTTTGGACAATTTGTTAGCACCATATTATTCTACATAAAACACCGCAATCCTCGTCCATTAGGAGTTTTCATGTACCTCCTCTGGTTTTCGAGATAGTACTTTCGGGTTGAAACTTCGAGAGGGGTGGTTTCACCCCTTAAAGTCGCGTCTCAGCCGATAAAAAAAATAGGTATGCCTTATTTTTGACTGCTTAACAAACATACGAAGTTTCATCAAAATCGGAGAGGGACACATTCGTGACTTCCCTTGTGAGCCTTTCAATTGTTAAGGGGGTCATTCTATTTTGTCGATCGAAAAGGTTAACCTATGTTTAGGAATTTGTTCCTCAGTAAATACACTATGTAATCAAATTTATCTTTGTTAGTATTTATTGAAATACTTATAAATAAATAAAAAGATTGCGAACATAATTTTATTATATTTTGTTTCAAGTTTTTTATGGTAGCTTATGGTGAAAGTGACATTCAAAAAAAGATATCTCCATGACGCAGGTGATTTCTCAGCTGAGACTCATCTGAAACAAAAAATTCAAGTACATTCTTAATTAGTATGAGTGTTGCCATCGCAGGAACCACAATTAATAATTTTTCTTAAATAATAACGAAATGGCATGTGGGCCGATAAAAAGATTAGAGAAAAGCACTTTTCTCGGTGATTTTGTTATGTAAAAAGTATGATATGTTGAAGATATAAACATGACTATGGTTCCTGTGATAGCGATACTCATACTAATTAAGAATCTTCTTGAATTTTTTGTTTCAAATGAGTCTGTGCTGATAAATCACCTGCGCCATGTAGATACCGTAGCAGTTTCTTGCTAAAGCTGCGTC